TTTGTCCGTTTTTTTATAGTTTTTATAGTTGCGATCACATTTTATCGACATTCATGTTGTAATTGTCTCTTTCTATATTTAACTTTTGTCTCGGACAAAAACGAAAAAATAGAATAAGAATCGAAAAGGCAAGACGTAAAAAAAGCCAACAGCAAGAAGCAGAAAGAACACATTATAGAATAAGTTTTGATTAGATTTATTATTAATCGAATTTTAATTAACTTAATCGACGATTAAATATCAAACAAACCTGTATTGTTTTGTTAAGACTATAATATATAATTTATCTTGTAATGTACAGATGGAAAGAAAGATTAAATTGGAAACAGGAAGTTATATAAACTTTTCTTCATGCTTTTCTTTTTGCTGAGTAAGGGCCATCACACGCAAAATGACATGGCATAATTGCATAACTATAACATAAGGCCCCTAAACCAAGCATCCAACATAAAGATGCCATTGATTTACATAAGATTTTCTTCTTCTGATTTTATGGCTCTAGCCGATGAAATAACAGTCAATTTACATAAGATGCTCATTGGTTTAGGGGCCTTACGCTTTGCTTATGTAATTTTGTGTATGATGGTCCTAAATAATCTAATTAAGTTTAGTAGTCGAAGTCTATTGCAACTAGCATCTTGCTGTATATGATGCTTTATACAGCGTGAAACGAAAGCGAGTTAAAGATACCGAAAAATGCAAGCGTTGCGTATATTTCTTAAGCGAATTAGAGCATGTTAGATTGTCAAGATATTATCACTACACATATCCGATTTCCGCACAGATATGATTTAATTGTAATCAACAATCCATAAACGTTAATTGATTGTACCTAATATGAAATTACTATAAAATGCGAATTAATTATTGATATTAAGTTGGGTTCCCATTAATTTTTGCTAAGTTTTCTAATGATTAGCGAAGTTGGTCTTGTAGTGCGATATTCTTAATTCGATTTTATACCTAAGTTCGATTTTAATTAAGTATTAAGTATTAAGTTCGATTTTAATTAGTATTAAGATTCCATCTAGTTAAAGAAACGAAACTGCATAACTTAACTCGAGTCTATCATAGAACATATTTTATCGATCATGTAGAAGATGATCGCTTCCTTAGTAACAATTAATTTATTTATCAATATATTAAACGTTGGACATAATATTGAACCAATATTTGGACAATATTGTGCCAATAATTGTGCTACTAAGGTTCATACATCTTTTATTATACATCTTTTATTAAACTAATGATTTAACAATAATAATGAATAATTAATTTTGTACACAATAAATAGTTAATTTTCTATTCAATCTCGAAAAATTGTTATATATATATTATATATATATTTATAATGATAATTAATTTTGTATTTAAAACGATTGTAAATATAAATGCCATTCTTAACTTCTCATTCCATTGTCGGTTTTTAAAAAGACAGTTTTAAAAACTGTTCAAAACCGGAGCGGTGTTATTCGCAAACGTTTAAACGTTCAAATCGAAGCGCGCGTACGCCACCATGGTGAGATGACCGTCACCGGAGTTCCGGTCCGCCGCGCGCTAGTCGCCAAAGGATTTCGCGGGCGGCCGAGTTTATGGGTAATATTTCCCAAGATTCTTTGTGGCGTGCTTGGCGTACGGAGAACCGGCGAAAATTCAATTCACCGCGTGCGAACGAACGTGTGGATTACGTCGCATCATGTTCAATTAGTTATGTCATGTCATGTTGGCGTGAAGTCGTGATGACGCCTCGTCCCTCGAGTCCCCAACGAGTCCTCGTCATGCCGCGCCGCCTTGCGATGTATCGGCCTGTCTCTTTTCTCGAGACAACCGTGCGCGAGGATGGCGAGGCACGTCGAAGCAGGACGCGGTTCTGCTTATCCGTCCACGACGCGTTTAGGACGCTTGCCAACGTCGCATCATCTCGATGTCCCTTCGGGCTGTTGATCACAGCACCGGCGACGATGGATTATTAACCGTCGCTGAGCCGGTCGGTCATTGTTATCATCGCTTATCGCGAGAAATGGAAGGGCCGTTTGTTTGATTGCGACTTTTGCGGTAAAGGTACCACGCGGTCTCGCTGCTCGGCATACAAACATCTCGAAGGGAGAAACAAAAATCGCGGACGCAATGTCTCCTTGTCCAGCATCATTAGCATCTGTTAGTGAAAAATATTCTCTGTTTGCAGCTGGGTCATAATTGTAGGGGATTATGTCGGAGCAAAGTGCGGATTCTCCGAACTATACTGCGAATCAGGAGGAGGAAGAGGAAGAGGAGATGATCTTGCAAGAGTCTGAGGTACATGGAAATTGATAACAATGTGATGATAATGTCATGTAGAACATTTTTGTACATTTCATATCTTCTATTAATAAAATAATAATTTAATGAATATTTGATTTTGTGACAATAAAATTGCTTGTCCAACAATTAGTTTTATTGATTTTTTGTTTCCATATCTGCACTTAACATGATGTATGATTTACTTTTAGGCTAATCCTGTAGATATTCTAGAATGTCTGTCGGTTATGATCAATGATAGCACTGGAAAGGATACTAATCAGGTACAGGAACTTATATTGGACGACCAGTTGCTTGGTACAATGGTGACTACAATTACATTGCCTGATGGGACTCAAGCTTTTGTTACGAATAATCTTGGTGACATTGGTTAGTAGCCATTTGAATTCGACTGTTTTTAATATTATTATACTTGAATATTACAGATAATACAAAAGAATTATTCCTTTCATAAACAATTTGCATTTGAAAAAATATAGCTTTTTGTTCTATTTGTTTCATGGTATATCTATAATGAATTTATACATTTGCAGATCCAGATTTCAAGACACAAACACTGCAAACACTTGAAAATGGAGATACTATTTTGCTACGAGATTTGTCGGAATTTGGCGATGGAAAGGCTCTTCAATTGGAATTAGATCCAGCTACATTTGTACAAGCTGAAGACACTGCCACTGAAAATGTAGAAAATACGTATTCACAAGTAGAATTTATCAATGGCACTGCGTACATGGTGGCTAGCCATGTGGATGTAGACGAAAATTTATGGGAAATTGAAGATGGGAAGTTAAAGAAAAAAGATCCCAAGATTTTAATCAACAAAATATCTGATGTAAAAGTTAGGTATCCTTGTCCTAGAGAAGGATGTTCAAAGGTTTACAGCACACCTCATCACCTCAAGGTAATCAATTCTTCGAGATCAATATGAATACTTGTAAATAATGAATTGAAAAATCTCATTTAGGTATTTATAATCCATTCTTATTTTAAGATTATCTTAAGTAATGTCTTAAGACGCTAATGCGGTTCTCTGATTGGTTCGTAACTTCTTAAGACTGTATTTAAGATGATCTTAAATAAGATCTGAGTATCGACCTTAAATATTCTCAATCAGACTTACTAAATGCATATTTTTAATCTTTTTTGTAGGTCCACGAACGTTCGCATACTGGTCAGAGACCATACAGATGTACTCATCCAAAGTGCAAAAAAAGTTTTTCAACCGGCTACAGTCTGAAAGCGCATTTACGGACGCATACAGGCGAGAAACCATATAAATGTACGAATGGAACGTGTAACAAAAGCTTCAAGACGTCGGGTGATTTGTTAAAACACGTGAGAACTCACACGGGAGAACGTCCCTTTGTATGTCCATTTAACGGTTGTGGCCGATCGTTCACTACAAGTAATATTAGGAAGGTACGGATGCTCAATGTACGATGCTTAAAATATTTTATTGCCGAAATTCAATAAAAGTTTTTTTATGCTTATCAGGTTCATGTAAGGACGCACACTGGCGAGCGACCGTATAAATGTACGCAACCGACATGTGGTAAAGCGTTTGCTAGTGCGACAAACTACAAGAATCACATACGTATACATTCAGGCGAAAAGCCTTACGTTTGTTCCATAGAAAACTGTGGTAGAAGGTTTACCGAATATTCTAGTCTATATAAACATCATCTTGTAAGTATTTTATATCAATTATTAATTAGTTATTAATAAGAGTACAATATTCTAGAATAAAATACTCCAAGAATATTGTTAAAATATATATAAATATATATAAATATCTCTAGATATTTTTGTCTTCGTAGGTACATACACCACAACGACCATTCGAATGCACACTATGCTCCAGGAAATATCGTCAGAGTAGCACGTTGGTGATGCACAAGAGAACAGTTCATGCCTTAGTTGACAGTGACGATGGTGCCGATACATTTTTGCAAGACTCTCTTGAATCCTCTAGTCAAAATAAAAAAAAAAATAAAACTGTAAAAGAAAATGTAAGTGTAATGTAAAATCTAATTAATTATTAATTATATATGTTTGTGCAGTTCGATATGATTATGCAACTAATAGATCTTAAATTTAGCATAAGCTGTTAGCAAAAGACAAACAAATCCAGATTTCTAAAATGATCGATGATACGAACGAGAAAGAACCACAAATTTTATTGGTAGGTGATCCTTCGCAAATCGCTGCATTACAGGTTTGTATAAAAACTTGATATATTTTTACAATAGATTCATTCTAGATAATTATTAGCGAAAAAAAAAGTTTTTTAAATTCATTTATTAAAAATTTCAATTACAGAAGATTGATTTGGACGAAAATTTTGATGATCCTGGCATTGATACAACATTCGAAGGATTGAATATAAAAATCGAAGACATAGAATTTGGATGGAACTAATGCAGAGAAAGGAATGCAACTTTATATGTATGAGAAAAGTCTTAAGCATTAAATATTAATTTTGTTAACATTCATTCATGGATGTGCTAATATCAGAGCGAAATCAAATAAGTAAATGAAAATTAAAAATAGTGTCAAACAATATTTGACCGCATAAATGCTGCGGTAACAGATCCGAACTGAGATTTAAGTTTCTTATCAGTTTCATAAATTCATCAGATAGAAATATACAGTAACACACATCAATTTTTTATAATAATGAATAATTGATGTACGATTTATATGATCATTTGCATAAAGTGATGATTAATTCAACGTAATGGATTAAATATCTAATGCAAATATGTATAGATATGCTAAGATATACTGAAAAGGATTTTAAGAAAATGTGTAGTATTTCTCGCGTTGAATCTAATGATCAAATGAATGGATTCATACTGTAAACGTAAACGTGCGAGGTAAAAGATATTTCAAAAATATATATAGGAGAGATCATATTAGATATTTATAATATGTAATTACGTTTTTGAACTAAAGGCAGTGCCTTACCTGAAAGTGTGAGTGTAAAAGAAAATATATGTACTATATCACATTTTGTCCATCTATAGTTATCGAGCGTGTATGTAATATTTTTATGTAACAATTTACATCGTTTTCTTCTCGTATCTAAAATTATAGAGTAAGTTATTTGTTTTTTAATTTGAGACAAAGAGATATATTTTGACTCAACTTTATTATAAAGATGTTTGTATTCAGTTTTATTAAAAGAGCAACTACCGAAAAGTTATAATTTCATTAGCAATTTATGAATTATGTTATCATAGTAGTTTTATTTTATTTTCAGATTGTGTGACTTTGAGGCATTTTAATTTTATGTACAAATAATAATTATCATGTTATTTTTACCCTGTAAGCAAAATATTAATAATATGCCAATAAATTTAAAAGATATTGAGGCTAACTGGCATCAACTGTATCATTTGCAAAATTTTGTTAGCAGAAATATAGCAATATAATGGCAGAATTGATTAAAATCTGCTATTTTATAATTATATATTTAAATAATATATTCCATTTGAATATAAAATATACTATATTCTGCTTAGTTTCTACTAATAATTTGCTATCAAATTATGTCAGCAAGTTTTGGTTGATACAATACAAGCTTATTGTGCATAATTGTCAATCTGTCTCAATGTCCTGTTCAAATTTATCAGCATATTGTTAATATGTTACTTACTGAATAATTTTAATATTGCGCTGCTGAACTATTTTCAAAAATCAAGGGAATATTATGTATTTAAAATTTGCAATGTAGAAAATGCAAATTAATTTGAGATAAATTATATTATTTTTTTCTTTAAAGAAGATAATACGAATTGCAGTATAATTGATAATGTGTGTGAAAAAAAAAATATATATATAAAACGAGTCTGATGAACGAAAAATTTTATTATGTTTAATACATTATTATCAGAATTAATATAGGAATACAGACTATATATTATGTGATGACATACTTAACAATAGATGAATAACAATAGATGGATAATAACATTTATATCGTGTATAAGCATTTCAAGAAGGTAAAAAAAAATGTATTATGTTTTGTATCTTCATTTTTTTTGAGAATTAAATTGTTTTTTCGTAAATACTATGAAATATATTTGTGTAAATAAATGTGTTTTGTGAACTTGGTGAAAATAAAAAATGTAACATTTGATCTAAAGATTAAAAAAAAATATAATTAAGACTTAGGAAATTAAATTCCTAAGCCTAATTAAATTAATCTAAATTAAAATTTCGGAAATTATTAAAATAAAATTCGGAAATTAATAAAATATATTATTTCACCTTTCGAATAAATTCAATACTTTTCTTCGATCGAATTCTCATTGCTAAAAAAGGAACTATTATTAGCGTTCGGTCGCTGATTAAACAGACACATTAACACAGCTAAATACGAGACGTGAAATGTAGCAAATAATACAGTTATATATACGTGATCGAAATGGTTGGCCTTGTAAAAACGAATTGAAGCGATGATTTTTTTTATTTTGAGCTTCTTTTATATTCTTCTGTTTTTAAAGTAAATGATATAATCATTAATCATCAAATATGTATTTGCAATTAGTTTTTTTAATTACATTAAAAATATTTTTCTCTGTATGTTCCCTTATATTTTTACAGCATCTAGCATATCGTTTAAGAAGATTATTTTGATGAGCAATATAGAACTTTCGGTCCTCCCACCATTCAGACGATCTTTCATATAGTGTTGTTCTCGATTACGGATAGTCTCCATTCAGCCAAGTACTCGATCGCGCTCATCTATCAAACTGGCAGATAACTAAACTTTTTATAACAACGGAATCTTCCACTTTTGTCAATAAAATTTTAATCCTGCCATCCGAAAATAGAATTCAAAGAGTTCCGCGATTGTGATTATGAACATTACAAAATGTGGATCGTCGGTTTAACGCAGATATGTGCGACGAACAGTATACAACGGATGAGACAGGTGGGTATTAAGCGATTAAATAAGACGATAAAGGTAAAGACTAATAATATCTTATTAGGATTAACATTGTTAATGTTCAATATATGTGTGTAAAGCATCTTTTATTTATATATACATCGAATTGTGGAAAATTTATATTTGATATATCCACATATATATTCAGATATCGATTATATGATATTTTATTCTTGTGTGTTCTTAATACCACTATTGATGAATTAGGATAAAAAAATATTATCTTATTTAGAGATTAAAATTACAACGTAT